ACATGAAGAAATATTTCACTAAAATATTTCTTCATATTTCAATAGAATATGGATGGCACATAATGAAAATATTTGACACTATTTGTCATTACACAAAAGCAAATCAAGACCATGACGAATTATCACTAGACATCTATTTAGAACAGCTAAAACAAAAAATAACAATACCAAATGCTAGTAAGGGTGCAAAGAGTCTCTCATACATTACTGATGGGAATGTAAAATGGTACATCCACTCTAGAAAAGTGTCAGTTTCTTTGAGAACATGTATTTACTATACAACTTAGCAATTGCACTCCTGGGCATTAATCTCAGAGATACAAAAAGTTATGTCCACATAAAAACCTGAACATTGGGGCGCCTGGGTGACTCAGTCGGTTGAGCGTCCGACTTCAGCTCAGGTCATAATCTCACAGTTTGTGAGTTCGAGCCCCATGTCGGGCTCTGTGCTGACAGCTCAGAGCCTGGAGCCTATTTCGGATTCTGTGTCTCCTTCTCTCTCTGCCCCTCCCCAACTTGTGCTCTCTCTACGTCTCTCAAAAAATAAATAAATGTAAAAAAATAAATAAGTAAAAACCTGAACATGATTGTTCACTGCAGGTTATAATAGCCCAAAACTGGAAATAACCAAAACGTCGAATAGGTTAGTAGCTAAACTGTGACATCCATACCATGGAATACTACTTAGCAGTAAAAAGAAACACACTACTGTCACAACTTGGATGGATCTCAAGGGCATTATGTTGTATGACAAAAGCCAATTATTATAGAACATGACAAAATCACAGGTATGGAAATTAATGGTCACCAGAGGTTAGAGATAGCAAGGCAGGGGGTGTGGGTAGGTGTGAGGTAGCAAAAGGGAGATTTTTGTGATGATAGACTAGTTCTGTATCTTGACCGTGGTAATGGCTACACTATATACATATGATAAAATGATACAGAACTAAACATATATCAGTATCAACTTCCTGGTTTTGATACTGTACTACAGTTATATAAAATGTAAACAATAGGGGAAACTGGGTAAAGTGTACACAGCATACTATCTCTGCAACTTCCGTGAATCTATATGTCAGAATTAAAAGTTTTAAACAATCCAATCAATGTAAAACCATCCAAGAGTTTGGGAAACATGGGAGAATTTATAAATTTGTTGAAAAGGGTGATGTTGTAATGCTAAGTGCAAACCAAAGACGGATAGGGATGATCATGGTGCACCCTAGAAAGACAACTGAAGAGTTTGTTCAATTCCCTGAAACATAGTTCTACCATTTACTGAATGCCTATTATATGCAAGACATAGTGCTATAAATAGGAGTGGGCTTAAGAAAAAGAAAAGGTCAAGCATTTACCTCTGAATTAATTTACTAAGAAGATAAGATAGAACAATTGTTAAAAGCCCCAGGGCCTTTGCCCGGAACTTGCTCTTTTGTTTTTCTAGTTCGTTCTTAACCATCCTTGAACTTTTAGTTCATTGTCACTTCTTCAGAGAAATCCTCCCTACCTCTCCTCGATGTCCTCTACAATAGATCAGGTTCCCCTACCACATGCCCATACAGCACCCTATGTTTTTCATTCATAACACTAATCACCATTCACTATCAAAGAACTGTGTAATGATTTGGCATCTGTTTTCCCCATTAGGGTAAATTTTCCTAAGGGCAGAGACAGGTCTGCAGCTCACCACCGCATTCCCAAACCCAATGCCATACCTAGCAAATGACAGAAGCTCAGAATATATTACATGAATAAAAGCATACTATGCTATAATTCATATGTACAAACAACCAGGAAGACATTAAGGGTTACTGGGTTTGGAAGAACCCAAGATCACTTCAATTTGAAAAAGCCAGTTTATATGGGACAGAAGGTTCATGCAGAGGATATGGAATCTTACATTTAAAGCTGAACAGGATTATCAGCCTTTCGGCAATAGGAACCCACTAAAGAACTGAAACAGGAAAGCAGTGTGTCCAATGTCTTCTATAGGAAAATTACTGTGGAGAATGGATTTGAACTGAAAGAGTAACGCATAAGAGGCAGTAAGAATAGTTTTGAGGACATTGTGGTAATGCAGGCACAAAATGATATGAGAGGGTGGCCATGGGAACAGACAGATGTGTGAAACACTAAGAGCCAACAGACCTTAAGGACTGATTAGATATACGGACATGGAAGGGGAAGGGCCAAAGATGATTCAAAAGGTTTAACGGTGAGTGATGAAATAAAGTATCATGAACAGAAATGCAAAGTGATAATTAAATTCTCTTAGAAGGGAATGTGCTTTGTTAGAAATCTTAGGTAACATCCACACAATTGAAGATGTGACAACAGGTGGAGAAAAGTCAAGGTTGGCAATGTAACGTGTGAGTTGATTACAGTCAAGGTTTTAAGAGTGAATGAGATCTCTCATAGAGAAGAAGGTATATAGGGCCTTGAATGAAACCCTTAAAGCCATTGAACTGCCCTTGCTTGAATTACGTTTATCAAGCCACGGAGTCATTTGGACCATGAGATCCCTGAGGGCATATCTGATCTCATCCTTGCATTCCCTAGACATATACACTACAGAGTGTTGTACATAACTGGTGCACAGTAAGCAGCCTATGAAAGAAATAAATTATTTTCAAGATAATTAGTGATTAGTATTTCCTGTTCCACCTGCACTATTTCAAAAGGTGGTGCCATAATGGGGTCTTATTTCCCAAGGCTCTATAACTGATGAACTGACAGACAAGACTTTGGAAACGGTGAAAAAACTTTAAAAATAAATAAATAAGCCCTTAATGAGATTAGAACTAAAGCAAATCCCCACTATGAGTAGGGAATACTCTTCAAGAAGTTTCTGCATAGGGGCGCCAAGGTGGCTCAGTTGAGCATCCGACTTCAGCTCAGATCATGATCTCACAGTTGATGGGTTTCAGGCCTGAGACAGGCTCTGCCCTTACAGCGTGGAGCCTGCCTGGAATTCTGTTTCCCTCTCTCTCTCTGCCCCTCCCCCATGCATGCTATCTCTGTCTCAAAAATAAATAAACATTTTTTTAAAAAACTAAACAGGAAATACTCTTTAGTGAGGGAGTGAAACAAATGAAAAATTTCCACTGTATGCACTACACAAGTTGACAATGCACAAAAAGTAAAGAAGCTTCAGGTGAAATGAAGGCTAGAAAAGATAATTAAAGGGAATTAAGGGCAGTTGAGAGGCATACTTCAAAAAAAAGAAAAAAAACATAATGAGGGAGGGGCGCCTGGGTGGCTCAGTGGGTCAGGCTTCCAGCTCTTAATTTCAGCTTAGATCTCACCGTTAGTTGGCTTGAGGCCCTCGGCCAGCTCTGCACTGACAGCGTGGAGCCTGCTCAGGATTCCCTCTCCCTGCCTTGCCCCTGCTTGAGTGTGCATTCTCTCTTTCAAAATAAATAATTTTTTTTCAAGTTTATTTATTTTTGAGACGGATAGCAGGGAAGGGGATAAGAGAGAGACAGAGACAGAGGATCTGAAGTGGGCTCACTGACAGAAGAGAGTCTGACCGGGGCTTGAATTCACCAACTATGAGATCATAACCTGAGCCAACGTCAGATGCTTAACCAACTGAGCCACACAGGCGCCACAAATAATGAATACGTAAAAAAGAAAAAAAAATAATTAGGGAAAAGTCATTCACCTGCTCTCCCACAAAACATTCCTGGGTATTAGAGGAAGAGTAACAGGCTAATCTTATTCAGTGCTTAGATGAACAGTGTTTCCCCAAACTGCAGTATGAAATAAGGAAAAAGACTGCTAAAATTAGTCAAGGGACAAATTTGGTGACAGCCCTCCACCAAATTATCTAGGTTGCAGTATGCCACAAGGTTCTAACCCTCAATCATAGCAAATATCCTAAGTGCTTCCAGATAGGCCAGTGTCTCTGAGGGAGAAGTCAGAGAAGAATAAAGAAACCAGTTGGGGTCAGAGATTCTAGGAACCTGACAAGCCAAGTAATCTGTAATTCAACCACCCTCTCAATATCAGCTTCCACAAGTCTAAAAGATAGCCAACCATTCTTTGCCTATTTCCAACAACAGCAAACGGACCATTGGTAAAGTGACTATTCTGAGTTGGACAGCTCTAAATTGTAAAACCCTTTGAAGTTATCCCTCAGCAACTTTCACTCCCAGTCCTGGTTCTCAAGAGCAACACAGTGAAAGGTGAAAGTTGTATTTTGGATTTTAACTTAAAAAAAAAAAACAAACACAAAAAAACAAAAAACCCCCTAACAACTAGGTATTACTTCCTGGCGGATCAATACGTTTCCTTCTTCCAATAGTATGAAAGTTTTATTCCCCACCCCGCAATGTTTGACTCCCCTTTAAGGAAAAAGTAATGCCAGGCACAGGTTCCTCTACACCCTGAGCTGCGACCTCCAAAGCAAAGCGGAGAAAAGGGGCTTAGGCAACTACATAAACTAGAATATGTTGCAGCTGGTATGAAATCCCCGTTGCCAAGAAGCAAGCAGCTCTAGCCCGTGCCGGGACGCGACAGAAGCCAAACAGACCTGGCCTGGCCGTTCTCAGGCTATGAGGGCCAAGGTGCCTGCACCTCCTCTAGCCAAAGCCACGGGGGGCTGAATGGGCGCTTGTTCCCAGGCCAGCGGCAAGCCGGGCGCCTCACAGGGTAGAGCGCTCGGCCCCGGAGAAGCGGCAAGCTGAGAGGAAGGCTCAGTGAAGCACCTGGCAAAGACCAAGCCGCGCCACCGGGCCAGCTGCCCGTACGCCCAACCACCCTGTCCGCCAGAGGCCACCTGAGAAACGGCACCGGTGGGAGCTCCCGGAGTTGGAGACGTTTCTGGCTTAGTCGGGGGTCCGGTCTATTCCGCCCGCCCACCCTCTCTCTCCGCGGCCCAAAGATAAGCCGGGAAGCCACCCCAAGGGGTGGTGTCCAGGAGGTACTCCGCGTTTGGGGTGAATGCTGCGGGCCGGCCCGAGCTCTCGAGCTGGCGGGCAGCTGCGGCGGTCACTCACCGAGAGGACGCTCATGCGGATTGGGGTCTCCAACAGGCACGCCATCTTGAGCCTTCCCACCCGGCTGCGGCCGGTGCCGGCGCGGGGGCCGGCACTTTCGACAGGGAACTATTAGGCCAACGACAGGCGCCTTCTGCAGAAAGTCAGGTAGGTAGACGAGAACGTACCACGCTCTAGGCACAGTTAAAGTACAGCCAGGGCCTGCGGAAGGGAGAGGCAAAGAAAACCGCGCCAGGGGCCTCCCCTCGAATCGTCCTCTCAGAAACAGCAGCTACTCTCAGCCTGGGTTAGAGGTGGGAGCGGGCAGCAGTTTCCGCATGCGCAAAGAAGATCTGCCAGCCCCACCTGCCGCTCGCGGTGGGCGGAGCCACAGGGGCGGGGCTTCGCTCTGGCACTGCAAACTTCGCGGTTGATTCGTTACAACGCCTGAGCTCTCGTATTCATATTCTGATAAACTACTTTGTGTAGTCACGTACGTAATTTGAAGTTCACATTCACATTCATTATCTCCTTTGCACCAGACTTCTAGCGTTGTTATTATCGCCATTTTACACATGGAGGGACTGTGGTCTCAGAACCAGGTCTTCGGCGTAATCTACCCGACCCGTTTATTCTGGTGTGATGTTAAAAGATACTCTAGAACCAGAACGCCTGGGTTTAATCTTTGCTATTTATCATCTGCATTATCTCCAGCAAGTTACTTAACCTCCCTATGCTTCAGCTTTCTCTTCTGTAAAATAAGAGTTATGAGGTCGGAGAACTAAAGCTTTTTACAACATGCCTTCAATGTAGAAAGTGTTATATATGTGTTAGTATTTCCCCAGCCTCTGAGTCAAATAGAAAAAAAAAAAATGGGGACAAATATCTGAAGAATTAACACTAAAATTCTTCAAATAAAAATAAAAAAAATCTCCAAATAAAAATATGCTTCTAATTATATTTTCTGATTAGTTCAGTTTTCCCACTCCGCTCGTGTGTGTGTCTACAAAACTGCCCTCGACTTGACAGGTTTCACCTTCCTGCTGCCTGTAACCAGTAAGGTTTTCATAGAATGGTTGCAATGAGCCTTTTTCATTACTTTTCTTTTTTCCATTTTTATAGCCACTCCCTCATTCAGGCTGTTACTACCTCTCCCCTGGACTAGAGCAATAGCCTTCCGACTGATCTTGTAGCCTCTAGCCTTTTCACTTTGCTCCTCGCTGCTTTCCTATCTTCTTCCTGTTTAGGTATCCCCCTTTTTTAGAAAGTTCCCCTTAAGCCAAAGTTCCTCTTTGCTTTCAGAAAAACCCTACATTAGAACCTACTTTTGCTAACCAAAGAAATCCAAAGAGGAGGTTCACTTTTATGAAAAAAGGTAGTAAGTAAAAATAGAAGTCAGAGTTTGTTTTTGCAGGGCCCTAATAAAGGCATCCCTGAACCCCAGACAGCAGGGGAGAGTGGCATCCCCAAGCTCCTTCCCCCAGGAACTACACTGAATATCTCAGTATCAAAGCCCATAATTTTGAACTGTGTCTGTGAGCATTTGTGCTTTATCTGCATTTGTTTTGTGCATCTGTTAGCAAGATAGGCACCTTCTGCAGAAAGGCTAACAGAAGCCAAACAGACGTGGCCTGGCACTCTCAGGCTGTGGGGGCCTGAGAAAGGTATCAGAAGTGCCTAAGAGAAGTTGTTTTTCAGGTCTGGGAATGCTCAAAAATGTTTCCATATAAATTAATGTTAATTGCTTCTTTATGCCATTTTGACTTAGAAAGTTTTAATAAGAACACTTTAATTTTGGATAGAGGGGGAAATCTGTATTTGGTTTCCCAATTTATTGTAGCCCTAATCATCCTTGTTCATGGCTTTGTGTTTCCAAAGAAACTGTTGAGTTTCTGGAAAGCAGGAATTTCATTTTAGACTTTTCCTTTTGTAATATTTCCCAAACTTCAGTAATCAGTATACCACCCATGCAATCTTTGTCAATCTGCACCAAGACGTTATTATTCACTCAGTATTTTTCTTTAAGGTCAGTTTCAATTCATTAAATAGTTTTAGCTTCATCCTAAACCATAATACTCTGTAAAATCAAATTTTTGTGCCACTTATTTTATTCTAGTCCTTATTAACATAATAACTACAAAAAAGTATAAATGTCCATCCACCACCTAAAATCATGTCATATACTACATACCACAGCAGAGCAGAGAATAACCCTTGCACAGAGCATACAAAAGTATCAATTGAATTTTCAGCTGATATTTGTATCATATACAGTTGTGATAGCTGTATTTTATTCATGCTTCATCCATTAACTTAAGTAATATATCCTCCAGGAAGCCCCTTCCCCAGGTATAAGTTAAGTGACCCCTCCCCCATGCTTTTATGCATCACTATTCTTGCCACTAACATAGCATCTCCAACAATATATTGTAATTTTTTGTGATTGTTTACTTATTTGTCTCCCCATTATGCACTTCGGGCAGGTATTAGAAATTTTATCTACTAGGTCTTTTATCTCACTACCTAGCATAGAATAGTCACTTAGTAAATGCTTAGTGAATGAATTTTTACTTAGTTTGAACACTAAGGACAAATCCTGGGACAGTGATTTGGGTACAGGTAGTTTATTCAGGAAGTGTTTCCAGAGAACAGGATTGATGGGTCAGGGAGAGTAAGAAGAGAAAGAAGGAAAAGTCAATATAAGGATCCATTATTGAAGTCGCTGCTTACTCCTTGAGGAATTCTGAAAAACATACAGAATGCTCCCCTGGATTTCCCTCTTGAGGTTGGAGCATTTATCCACCACTTCCCATCCTGTATTGGTTGAGGGCTTCCCTGGGCTGTTAACTGTCCTGGATTTCACAGAACAGTGAGGTCTTCCTTAACCTGGTATAGAAAAGCAGAATCTGTGGGCTTACTTTTGGGGTGAGATACAAACAGTATTAATCTGAGCTTGCAGCAAAACCATCATTACAACTGTGGCTGAAATCAAAGTGGAGAGAAGCTAGGGAATGTGATTCAAACATGCAACACCTTTGCTACTCAAGCTTTCCTATTGTTTTCCAGAAGACTGGCATGGCCAATTTATGGGAAGGAAGTGTTGATTAGCAAACCTGTAAGCTTGAGGACCAGGAATCTCATTTCTAGTTCAAATTTTGCTGCTAAATAACCTTAGGTACACTCGTCAAAGCCAATTAATGAGTAGAAACTGAGGGGTAATAAGAAATTTCTATTTAGCTTCCACATAACAGCAACAACAAAACAGGTAACTTGGGCACTGTGGTGAGGAGAGGGAAATATCCACACTGACTTACCTACAAACAGGAATGAAAGTTTCCTCATTCTCCCATAGCTCTTATCTCAGAGAAGAATTAATTTTGGAAAAAATAATGACAACAAAGTGTGAATTTAATAAAGAAAAATAGAAATACAAAATAAAAAGTAACCAGAACGAAATCTGAAAAGGATTTATAAATGTCTAAGTACAACTGCCAGGATAGAGAAAGACATATTTTTGAAAGTAGAAGCAAACCTATGCAAAAAGAGGAAAGCATTAAGTATAGCAAGATAGATGTAAAACAAAAAGTGGCCTCAAAAGGAATTTAGAAGAACCTTTAAGAAAGATTTGAAAACAGAGGAGATTCTTTAATTGGATCAAAAAGAGAAGATGTATTGGGGGTCTGGGTGACTCAGTCGGTTGAGGGTCCGACTTGGGCTCAGGTCCTAATCTTACAGGTTGTGGGTTCAAGCGCTGTGTGGAGCTCTATGCTGACTACTCAGCCTGGAGCCTGCTTTGGATTCTGATTCCCTCTTTCTCTGCCCCTCCCCCGCTCGTGTGTGTGCACACACTCGCTTGCCGTCTCTCAAAAATAAGTAAATAATGTGAAAAAAGAGACAGAAAATATGCCAATGGTGGTGCAGTTTAACAGTCACTAACCTATGGGTTTACTTGTGCACACATTGTCGTAGGGGATTCAAAGTCAAGACATGGTTCCTGCCTTGAAGCAGACAGGAATAAAAGTGAGACTGAGAGGTTCAATGATTTGCTTAAGATTGCTCAGGGAGTAAGAGACTTAATCAATTTGGGCCCAGACTTCTCTGTTTCAAGATCCTTACAGAGCTCTCACAGTCTCCTGGGACCTGACAGGCCTCTCCTGCATAGGACTAATAAGCCTCACCTAAGCAACCAGCTAATTAAGTAAAGTATACAAGGACTTTGCAATGAGAAATAAAGCAACGAAAATTTATCAGGTGTTTGGAGGGGGTAAAATGTGCCTATGCATAAAGCAGCAGTAGTAAGACGTTGAAAGTCTTTTATTAGAAACTACAGTAAAAAAATAAAATGTTCTTTTTATAACCAAATTATGGTTCTAGAATTCCAACTGACAAATATAGAAAAAAATGGTGGAATTTGAAAGCTACCACATGATAGCCATATGAGTTAAAATTGTTTGAAGCAAGAATCATCAATGGGTGCTTAAACTAATTGGGGAAAACATAATGAAAAAAAAAAAGGATATTCAGTCTCAAAGTATCTTCCCACAAGTTGCTCATGATAGTAGAGAAACTCGGTAGACATCGGTTCATTCAAGGGACCGAAATTAATATCATCACTAATGGGATAGACACCATGATAAGATGCACTAATAAGGATACAACATCACTTCCATGGTATTCCTGCCAAAAATGTATGAGTGTAATCATGAGGAATCATCAGACAAACCCTAATTGAGGGACATTCCACAAAACAACACACCCACATCTTTTAAAATTGTCTCAAAAGACAAAGAAAAGCTAAATAATTGTTCTAGATTAAAGAAGGGTAAAGTGACATGACAACCAAATGCAATTTGTGATCTGGAATTAAATTCTGGACAAGGAAAAAAAAACCCAAAACACGTTTCCCCCTCTTGCTACAAGGGGTATCAATGGGAAATTTGGCAAGATTTGAACAAAATCTGTAGATGACGTATCATTGCTAACGTTCTGACTTTGAGAATTGTACTTTTGTTACAAAGAGAATGCCCTTGTTCTCAGGAGATAAATACACAGGAATTTAAATGTAAAAAATTGAGTAGCTATGGATTAAGCAATTATTTTTCTTTAACAATGAAAAAGGAATTCATTTAGAGAATAATGTTTTTAAATGTATTTATTTTGGGGGCACCTGGGTGGCTTAGTCCGTTGGGCATCCAACTCTTGATTTTGGATAGGGTCATGATCTCACAGTTCCTGAGATTGAGCCCCGAGTAGGGCTCTGTGCTGACAGCACAGAACCTGCTTGGGATTCTCTCACTCCCCCTTCCCTGCTC